TCATGCATACCGCTGCTTTTGTTGATAATTTACATACGTTGCCATCAATACATGTGTATTTATTTGTAGCTTGGAAAATTGTACTATGACAGAGAAGAGTTTCAGAAATTAGCAAAAATACTGAAGCAGCTTCATCAGTCGTGTCAGGTAGGCGACTACTGTCAATTTTTACTAAGTTTGCTTATTAAGGCAAATCAAATTTTTTTTTTTTAGTATAGAATTACAAGTGACTTTAATGAAACTATTGCTGCGCAAATGCCCCTCAAATTATGAAAATGTATCTGGCAGTGCAATATTGCAGAATTCTTTTAGCATATGATCTGCAATGATTTTTAAATAGTAATAATAAGTGTAGAACTAATAAACAATTCCACATAATAAGGGAAATACATTAGAAATTATTATAAAATACAAATACTTGTATTAATATGAGGTTATTAGAGGATACTGCAAAGTATGCACAAAGATAGTACAGCAGGAGTATCGACCGACACGCATCGGAGGTCGATGCGACCACGTACTGTCTGAGTGCATAATTTGCAGTATCCTCGTAATAACCTTATTATTATACATCTTTTCCTCCCAGGAATACATTACGGGAATGCTGAAATCCAAAAAGTTTGGAACAGATTTAGCGAACTTCATTAGGTCAAACCCTGGGCAGCCATGTTTGTTTTTATTATTAAAGGACGATTAAGCGCGTAATCGTTCCATATTTTGAATTCACGTTTCCTAATATGGTAGGATGAAAATACCCAGTGCAATACCCCAAAATTACAGCAGGCTGTAACTTAGGAGTTATGGTGGCAGATGTATAATAATAGTGTTTATATTGAATATCAAATGAGGACATATTTGCAGAATATTGAGATGTTTTCAACCTTATCTGAATTACTTTGAGAAATTATATCAATGTCACAACCGTTATAAATGTTCAAATTAAACGTCTTCATGAATAATTAATCACATCACGTAATGTTGACGTCATTTGAGACAAACCATTAGAACATGATTATGCGGCCACTTATTAATTCAGCTTATATCTTCGTTTACACGTGGTTGGTGCTTGTCGCTTTCAGACGGTGGACGGTGCCGATGACCTGAAGAAAGGAACACAGTTGCTTGAAATTTATGCATTAGAAATACAAATGTACACGGCGCAGAAGAATAATAAAAAACTTAAGGCGCTGTATGAACAGTCTTTACAGATCAAGTCAGCCATCCCACATCCCCTCATCATGGGTGTCATACGAGGTAATATTATAGCTCTTTTCAAACTAAAATATTATGAAGTGATTTCATCTTACAAAAATTGATGCTGCATATTTTTTCTTCTTTTTTTAATGTTGATCCTCATTTGTAGATAATGAGTAATTAATATTTTCATATGTTTCAAAATTAACAAATCAATTACCCGATATAGAAAAATTCATAAACATCTGCAAAATGTTTTCACCTTAATTGGGTGGGAAAATGTATGATTTTCATAATGAGTGATAATGTTATTTTTGCCAAGGTGGGACATCATGTGAGTATCAGTCGGATAAAACTAACCCTAAATGTTTTGAATCATAGAAATCAAATGATGCAATGATGTAAACAATATTTAAATGCAAGCTGGTGGATTTATAAAGTTTGTAGTCTGTACAGTAAAAATATTCTCCATATTTACGCACTTATTGAACACAGGAATATGTATGTCCTTACTGTAGCACAATTGAAGTATGAATGCATTCCTTCTCTGTATGATAAATACTTTTTTTACTATCTGTAGTGTAATGTAGTTTTTTTGAGCTGTTTATTGTGTAGTTTGGTAGTTTTTATTTTGTTTAATAATTTGTGGTAAATTTGGTGAGGAGCAATGGGAAAACAATGTTTGTTCGTGGGAAAGTTCTGAATTTGCTGATTAATAACAAATATTGGAAATGACTGTTTTGTCACTGAAGACCCATAGTGACACTGTTTATTATTTTTCTTTCCAGAATGTGGTGGAAAAATGCATCTTCGAGAAGGAGAGTTTGAAAAAGCTCACACTGATTTCTTTGAAGCGTTTAAGAATTACGATGAATCTGGTAGTCCGAGACGTACTACTTGTCTTAAGTATTTAGTTTTAGCTAATATGTTAATGAAGTCTGGAATTAATCCGTTTGATTCACAAGAAGTAAGTTAGTATTCTTATTACTCTATCTGTGTCACTCTGTCAGAGAATCCCTCCTTACCAGTACACCAAATAATTTCTGGTATAACAATCACAAAAAAGCTTCTGTTAATTTTGTTTGTTTGTCCTTGTGATTATAGAGACCAGTGTTCTCTTCCAACTCTATTGGTATATTTTGGGTGATCGGTTCAGCACTAATTTAGATTTTAACACATTTACACATATGATCAAATTGAATTGGAAAAACAGTGTCAACGTGTATAATAAAAGCAAATAATCGTTTCCCAGCATTGTTCATTCATTTATAATGCCATACAATTTTATTTCTTTGGTGTGCTATGAATTATATAGAATATTTCACATTTCACAGAACAAATATTGCTTGGCACGAAAATATGAATGATAAGGTGAAGTTGAACTATTTCAAGAAGCTTGTTGAATCACAGAGATACCCTACAGACTCAAAGCATGATTCCCATGTATGCATGCAAGTCAATGCTTACCACATGACAATAAAATGACCATTCTAATGTGTGTATTTGTCAGAAACCTCCATTGGAATCCACAATACCTTTACATGCTGTGGTTGATATTGTGGATTTGAACCAACCCTTGGCCAACTTTTTCAATAGTTTAGGAAGAAATTATTTTCTTAAGAAATCTTATTGTCTATTCAGACGTTACACATTTATTAAATCTCCACGTCTTAGCTAAGGCGCAAGGTCTGATTTACAATTAGTGGTTTTATCTACAGTTATGTACAGTTACCGGTAGCAATTACACTCTGCATATTAATACTGAGTGTTACTGGTTTAAAATCAACATAAACACAGTGGGTTTATAGAAATAAAAGTAGTCATGGTAGATCAATAGGTCACGTGACCCTATGGTACATGTATGTTTTCTGATTGTCACATGATGTTCATTGTTATTCTATTTTGCAGGCCAAACCTTACAAAAATGACCCTGAGATTCTAGCAATGACGAATTTAGTGAGTGCCTACCAGAATAACGATATTAATGAATTTGAAAAGATTCTCAAAACAAATAGACAAAATATAATGGATGACCCGTTTATTAGGGAACACATTGAAGGTAAGATGAGTCATTATTTGGTGCATGTAATAGTAAAATTGCTGTATTTATGTAAGGTTTATCTACTTCCTCAGTCATAGTCCCTGGGTATAAGTTCACCCCTCTATTTTTAGATATTTAACGAGTTGAGGGCATCCCCAGTAAAAGGCCCAGGGTGTTTTTTACACAACGTCAACGATGGGTTAACATATATTAAAATATGCATGTAAAAAGTATGTTTCATTGCATAAAAATCAGGATTGATGCGAAGTTTGGTTTGTAAGAAAACATTAATTGGTGAACAATGCAACATGATTCAGTTTTTCAATGTGATCTGTTAGCGACTGTGAGCCGCATCAAGCACTTCAGCCACACTGAGTTTACCTTTTGAATCACTAGTTTTTAGAAAAATGAAATGCAGTTTTTTCGTTGAAATTCATAGTGCTATAAAGTAGTGAACTGTCAGTCATTGTATCGATAATAACTTTAATATTGAATTATTGCATCATTGATTGATTGATTTATTTATTTCACCAGAAAATTATGTATCCAATAATTGAGATATATAAAGGGGAAAATTAATATCCAAGGTAATATGTACACAATGTGAATAATTCTGGTGTGGACCATGAAAATAGTTCAGCAGAACTAGTCTAGTTCGTGGCTCTATCACTTAAAATAAATAACTAGGTAGTATAAAAAGTAAGTGGTATGGTAACACAAATGCATAAGTACTTAATCAGAAAAATACACGAGTAAATTAAATATCTAAGTTAAAACAAAATAGCAGTAAGTGGTATGCATCATTTGGATGACAGGATGCTCACTGTGATAAGAGCAATTTTTTCAGTGCTGTTTTAAATTGGTTTCTATTGCGTAAATCTTTTACTTGGACAGTAAGGGAATTCCAATATTTGACCGCTGAATATGTGAAGTTATGTTGGGAAAGTGATAAATTCATTTTCGGGACTGACAAGTTTCCACTGGAAATGGCTGTTGTTGGGTAATGATGGGAATGCTGATCAATATAATAAGGTCAAATATGAACAAACAAGTGTGAAGTTTGCAGATCTTGAATCACCAACCATTGGATCATTGAATCACCAATATATCAGCGTACTGTTTTGACAAACATAAAACAATGTGGATACTAGTAATATATCACATTATTTTGGTTTCTCGTCAGATTTACTGCGAAATATTCGCACACAGGTTTTAATTGAGCTTATCAGACCCTACACAAGGATTCATATACCTTTTATTTCTAGAGTAAGTATATTGTATGGTGTTTTTCGCTCCTTTGTCATCTTTGATCTAACCAGATGACCACTGTATTCACAAGTGAAATAAACCATGGCTCAGGTAAAAAGTCTGAAACAAATTCTATATATTACATCCTTGCCAATGTCAGCATATAAAATCCTGATGAAACTTAACACAATATGACTCAAACTTGGTGGTCCAGAACGTTTCTGATGAAAAATATGGCTGCTTACCAAACAAGTACCAACCATGAAAAAAATCAATCTATCAAAACCTGCAGAATGCACATCGTCCACTGAACAAAAGGTGTACAAATTTGTTTGTGAATGTCACAGTTGACAGTGTCACATTTGCTAAAGGCAGATTCAGGAGTTCAAAATTAAGCAGAAAATGAACTTGAGTGGGGGTCTTATCAATACGTGTTAATTGCTTTGTACCTGTATTACACAAACTTACTTTCTTTTTTACATGTATTACACATATTACTTGTTTTATTCCATGCGTTACTTACTTGCTTTGTTACATGTATTACACTTTTTTTTTTACAGGAACTTAACATAGATGTTAATGAAGTAGAGAGTCTGTTAGTGTCTTGTATTCTAGATAAGTAAGTAAAAATCCAGCGGTTATTGATGAAGTAGAAAACAATCCCCTTTTTCCAATCCCCTCCACCATAAACTTTCTTTAAACAACAAAACCCAGACTGAGTTAGATATGTTTGAATGACATATTCTATACATTGGAAAATTAGTGAGACGGACATTAACAGAAAATTATCATCTATGTGGTCATGTTGTCTGTGTGTCTGGATTTAGGTGAATGTAAAATTGTTTTTAAATAATTTGATTATTTCTTCTGAACATAAAATACAGTTTCTGGCCAACTTGTCACACGTGCTGAAATTGCTGAACTGTTCAAGAAAAGCTTACTTTTATATTTTCAAAAGTGCCAATTTTGTGTGCATATTATGTGTGTGGGAGCATAAATTTAAATCTAACAGTTGAGATCCGTATTGGCAATTACAGTTAGACTTGTGGAATCTTGTCTTAATGGCTTTAAAGTTGGACGCATTTTACTACGGTAGTAAGAAATGTGTAAATTTTGTTCATTATTTAACAATTTTTGATAGTTTGCAGAGTGAAATAAATGACAAAGTGCAAGAAAAATCTGGGTCCTCAAACTTTTTTCCATTGAAATAATAACTGTGATTTACCTGTAGCTTAAAACTTTGGTGGTCATACACACAAGAAAGGGTTCATAGTTTGAAAACCAGTTTGGGTATCTTTTTGAATCATAGAATGATTGAGCTGAGTTTCAGGCCCATAGACCTCAGAAAACATGTTTTATAAAGTCTGGTGAGCAGTGACCATCCTTTGATAGTCCAACAAGTGAGCAACATTTTGAGATGCAAAAAATGGTATGACATTCAAGTACGTGGTGACTTTGTTTTTATTCTTTGTGTTTCAGTACAATTCAAGGAAGGATCGATCAAGTCAATCAGCTACTGGAGTTGGATCAGAAATCAATGAATGCAGATAGGTACGCCGCACTGGATAAATGGACATCGCAGCTTAACTCGCTACACCAATCAGTGGTCAACAAGATGGCATGACTTGTATAGTGTAATAAACAACCATAGTATTGTTCATGAATATTAACAATAGAACTATGCCGGCTGAAATGTACATCTCGGACCATCACCTGCGTACCGTGGAATTACAACATGTAATAGTTCCCGTTACATTGAAGAAACTATTGTTGTAGGGAGTGTAAGGTTAACCTCAGCTGGACTGCATTTGGAGTGGTATATTCGCTTCTAATTTTCTTAACAGAAAACTGGGGAGGGGGTGGTACAGTATGATTTGGAGTAATGGTATGCAAGATATGGTTCAGTTTTTTAACGCATTTTCTTCTGTCAAATTGCCCATATTGTTTAGCCAATCAAGTTGCTCCTATGCTGAAAAAGATACATAAATCAATAAAAATGTGTGTTTTAAGGCAGTTTTCTGGTTTCTGGTTTTTATCACTAGCAGCAGCATCAATCAGTACATGACAATCAATCACCCGATTTGTACTGCACACTTAACAACTTAAATCTGAAAGTAACAATGAAAATTTACACCTGTAACATACACGCCTGTCTCTGTTTCTTTAATAATGTATTTAATTTTTTGTTTTTTTTACAAAATAAAACCCACATAATTTTTTTTTTCCAAAATGTAAACTATAGGAAACACCTGACTACATTTTTGTATAATATTCTATATAGAATATGATCAAATCTCAGCCAATCAGAGGTAACGTAACAAATTTTGGGGGAATGCTCTCTGAATGTAATTTCCTGTTGTACAGAGAATACCTACATTGTATTTTGATCAGATTTCCATACATACATCTTTACAAAATAGTGTGACATTTACTGTAAAGGGGTTAATTATTCACTGGGTTTTAATTTTGCTTATTTCGCTGACTGGAAAATTCGCTAAATTAAAACCTAGTGAATATGTAAAATTAAGCATAGAACACATTATCTAAATGATAAAACCGTGAATTTAAAACCCCCTGAAAATGCCTGAAATGGTAAATCAGCGAAATTTAAACCCAGTGAAAATTTACAGTATGCAAAACTAGCAACAGTTTTACTTTGGTATGTGATTACATAAACAGCGCCCTCAATGTGTGTAATTAAATTTTGTCTGAACCTAATGACTACACGATTTCACACACAACTTATGCCAAGAATATACAAGATTCGGGTATGCACCTCTCATACAATGAAATTCAGTCAAGATCTCACAAGAAGCCAACGCTAGAACTTCGCGTGTTTAAAAAGAAACTTCATTTCATGTGTCAAACATACCGGGGTAGTTCTAACCAATTGTTATGAATGCAACGAGTGCTTGGAAAGATTTGATTACAAAAACTAAAATAAGTAGACTCCTCAAAATGATTTTTCTTGTAATTTTGTGTTCAGATCACATTTCATGTTTAATCGTCCTCGCATATTCTACCCATACCCCCTTGTCTTGTATATCCTTGGTAATGCCGGTACTACGGGGGGTAATATCAATGCGAGATCAACATATTTTTTAGGTTTATTAATGTGAAAATAGCTAATGAATCGTGTAATTACTATGCAGTGTAAATAATATATTTTGGCTTAGTCTTGATAATTGTAGTTTTAGATGGAAAAGAACTCCTTAGCATGATGTATATGTACACTTGTGTACTTTTTAGAAAGTGATTTCTGAAGATTCTACTAGGGGGCCTTTGCCCCCCCCCCCCCGACATTGGTCTTGTTGGAGAGCCCAAGGTGCTTGATTTACTGAAATGACCAATACCAATTATTTTTTTTACAGATTTGCCAAATTTTCTTTTAATTAAAGAATATTCATTTTTGGTGTTCTGTGTGTATTGAGAAATATTTTGGGTTATACTTCTATGATTTGTATATCATCTCGTTGGTTGTCTGACAGCTTTACAAATAAACCACTATTTGTATTAAGTTAATGTAGGGAGATGATCAGATGAGATTGTTTATTGGAAATGTGTGTGAGGAACAAGTGATTTTGAATGCTCATCTTTGTGGGTATAATAAATTTTGATGCATACTGATGTGAAGTCTGACCGAAGTTGATACCCAATAAGCTACCATATGAAGGATCCTGCAGGCAGTCTCGTTTCACTGGCTTGTCATAGCGACAGGAGGCGTAGACAGTGTGCTGATGGGAAAAAAATAATGGAAAATCTTAATTGAAGATGCAAAACAGTTTTTATTTTGCTTAAAATTTGACAGATTATAACATTTACATTACTTGTTAAAGTGTAGAATCCTAACAAAGCTACAAAGTGTGCCCTGTACCAGGGATTCTAAAGGTCTGTGGTCAGAAGTAGATTGTTTTCTGCTACTTTCCAGACCCAAAGATTCTGTTCTTGATATTTGTACAAATAATCCCGGTATATCAGTGCATCAAGACACTAAATGTAAGGTAAGTTTAGCACTAAGTTGCACTTTATTGTATTAAAATCTTAAATATACACCTTGGCAAATACAGTATGAAATGAACATTTCTATTAAATTCACTACATGATTCTAAGGTGAGGTCTATAAATAAACTTAAAAAAAATAAAAAAAATGTAAATATGATTTTCATTAATTAAATTGCACATTGACAAGTCTAATGCTATCATTGCCTACTTTCAAAAGACTGTTTGTGCAGTCCTGTTTTGGGTGGGTCTGCATCTTCTCGGCTTCATGAGAGATTAAAAGATAAGTTAAACATCTGGAAAATGACCAAAGTTAATGTGGTGTAATAGTCCTGGAATTTCATTTCAGGTGTCAGAACAAGGGCAATAGACAAAAGTGTTTGATCAGTGATTCCATGAGCTTCAACAAATTTGTGGAATAATGTTGAAACTATCAGTCACAAGGCATTGGTTTCTATGGGTAACTATATATTAGAATAATTAAAATATTTTCTCTTTTTGATAGAGAAAGCCATAGGTTATAAGTCTTAAGAAATATTTAATGAACAATTGCACTTCCCCTGTCTGTGTCCCACTATAAAATAGACTGGGTTTGACATAGCGCATTCCATTTTTGGACACAATGTATATTATACGTCATGATACTAATTTTAAATAGGTACAGAGCGGCATCTAGTAACCATGATGCACCATAAAAAGTGATCAAACAGCGATTATTAAAGTTTCTGGATTTTACAGCAAACATTCAGCCAAGATTAGTGAATTATGTTTTCAAATAATTTAACAAGGTGTGTACCTTGTTTTATAAACCGTAAGTATGCACTATAATGCAAAGAATAGTATGGTACAAGCTGTTAACGAATAAATACTGGTCACATGTTCTATATGGTGAACAACCATTGGTCAGCTTGGTCCCAGTCTATTGTGAAGTGCGGGTTGAACATTTCATAAAGTGCATAACCATGTCTTTTACGCTCAGAGTTTCAAAACCAATATGTGTTTGGGTCAATACCAGTACATGTCATAACGCTGCAAGTAGTGCTGCTTTTTCTGACTGCAATGTTGCTAATAACTTATTTCAGCTGAGAAGGAAAATATACTACTTTTTTTTTTCCATTTCTAGAATTGTACTGACCCAAGCACTTTTACCTTATGACCTTGATCAAGACCCTGAAGCATGATTTAGCCTTATTGACTTGGATAAGAATGTATACACTATTTCAATCACATTCAAGTGTGGAGAAATGCCTGGGAACATGAATACAAGTAACTACATTAAGGGCTTTGCTACACTGATAAATATAGGTGACTAGTCAGTGTATCACAGATCCAAGATGTTCCATTTGAAGAATTTCATCAACACCAAAAGTTGGATTATACTGTGATAAAATTTAACTACAGTAAATGTATTAATTTTCTCTGGTGTTTTATTTTTTACTATTTTTATATTTTGAGCACATTCAATTCAATATATTTGCATATTTTATACTGTTTCAAGTTGCAGGTTTACATAAATTTAATTTCAGCAGATTTAATATCAGCGAAAAATTAAAGAAAAGTGAATAATTAATACATTTACAGCTCCAAGAAAATTAGTGGTGATTCTGTCTTTACTGTACACAACAGGGCAAACTCTTTTGGTGAACAGTGCCCTCTGGTGGCCAATATTGTAAACTATAGAAAGACACTATACATAGAATTAAAACAATTATACTAGCCAAGACTGGTGCACTGTGAAACTTTAAAACATATAGTTGCTTAGTAACCATATTCATTTAGATTACAAGTAATGTATATTACATATTTGAATTTACATAAAAGTTAGTGGAAGCGCATTTTACATCTGAACACTGTAAACCTTTTTTTAATTTTGCTAAAAATGTTCAATTACCGTATTTTCTAAGTAGTGCATGTGCTTACATGGTCAACTGTACATTACTGGATATTGTATTATTATTATATGCTTCTAATAGATCAAAAATAGTTATTTGCTTTTATCAAATGATGGACATTGCTGACTATTTGCGTTCCAAAGCATTGATGGAATGTATCATTGGCAAATTATCTGTATCGTTGCAGGAGACTCGAAAACGAGGTTCGAAGCGCAAATTACCGTACTTATCCGGGTAAGAGCCCATGCCTGGGCAAACGCCCACCCCCCACTTTTGACACAATAAAGAAGTTGAGGTCATATCCGGGCACACGCCCAGAGGGTCTTTTTCTACACAAAAAAAAAAACTATTTTCTATTCGTTGACTGTGGTCGTATTAACAATAACAGTTGGCTTTCTTGAAGACTGTTAATTGCGTAAAACAAGGGGTGAACGCAAAATAGCTGTGACAGTTTTCTGCCTTCATGGCAGCGCGTTCTGAATCATAACAGTCAGCAAGTCTATAAAAATATATATTAAAGCAGAAACGGTAGTTCTCTTTTTGAAATATGTCGTGGCTCTAAAAATGGCCGGCCGTTTGGGTTGTACTTCCTTAGAAACGATTCAGGCAAATCGTATAAGGAGAGCCGCAAGTGTCGCACTCGTTCGGCTTTAGCGTCGTCGACAATGAAACCAATGTTGCAATATTGTAGCAACCCGTACCTTGGAGAGTGGTTGAAATCACGTTATTTTGGCTTTATAAAATATTTTGTAGCAGCTTGCGAATTAATAACTGGGGTCAGCAATTTTGCAATGTTCGCCGAAGACTGCCAACTTTTTTACCATCTTTCATCACCGTCATGAAAACATTCTTCTGTCGTTGGATAAAAAAAAAAAAACTTCCTAATTCAAGTCCACCGCAATATCCATATAGTGAGACATTCCTACCGACGGAACTTGCTGAATGATAACTTTCACCGTGATTAATAAGTGTCGAGTCTGATAAAAAAGCAATGTCACGATTTGACCTTAGTGATGTCATTCTTAGCCAATCAGTAAAGCAGATGCATAAAGGTCAAAGATAATTGTTAGACTGTAAACAAAAGCATCGTGTGCCATCGCAGCAAAGCGACCCCATTTTTCTTGCCTCTTCATTATGATTAGACATGAATGAAAAGTGCCAAGCTGACAGACTGCGAAATCCGTGGATTAAAAGTACTAAGTCCTAATTGTGTGGGACGATATCGACGAACTTCAGGAATAAGTTGTAGGGATTTTGTTCGACGGCTACAGTGACACCGACTTGGACTTTGAGGGCTTTGAGTTTGACAAAGATGGCAATGAACGTACAAATAAAGATCTGAGAAGTTTTTTTTCAAACAGCTATGAATTTTTATAATTTTTACTGTGTAAATTTGTAAATTATTATTGATCTTGTATGACGGATGATGCGTAAT